AATACTCTGGGTATGTCAGGTTTCAACGAGAGTACTTTCAGACCTTTGATAATAATTCCCTGTTAGCTGAGCTCATTGAGCATGTCTGCATTGCGAGGATCAGCGCCATCACTGAGGCTGCAGCATAGAACAAATTAATTAGCTGTTCAATAGTGGAGCAAGTTTACTTATCTGATCTCTGAAGACTGACTGTGGCAGGAGAAGATGGCATTGCGATGATTCAGAATTCACTCTGGCTATGAGCTACACAGAGATGATGAACAAATAGCGTTATTGTATTTCAAACATTAGTGGTCACAGAAATGGCTGACGGGACAGTGTGGTTACAGATGGACCAGGAGGGGAGTATTGATCGGTGATAGAAATATAAAGAGCGAGGGAAGAGAGAGGGAGAGGGGGAAGCTATGGTTTTGCACAATTTCTCATTGTTGGTTTTTAAGTACAATCTTTTTCCCCATGGTTGTTAACACATTGTTAACAACAAAGTAACAGCTCCTAATGCATAACACAGTCTGCTAAGTCCATAACCTTGTGACTGTGTGCTGTCAAGGCAAAACATACATGTCGAGGCTTGAATTTGTATCTCTGGTATTTGGGCTGGGCAAAAAGGTGGGCCGAGCACTATGTTTCTAGAAAGCCTCTGAGACCAAGTTCAGCACAAACAAACCACAGAAACACATCATTGTTTTCATTAGATTTTACTGAGCGATAGACCCAGCTATTGTAAAATATTGGAAATTTCAAAGTCTATAAATACATTAGCCTGTTTTTGTGGTTGTTGTTCAGGCTGAAAAACAACAAAGTGTTGCAATCACTGGAATGTTGTATTTCAGTGACAAGAGCACTGGGTAGTCATCGAGACTTTAAGCAAGAGTGGGCAAGACTTTTGTAATCCATTACTTCCATTTTCAATTTCATTTATTCAAGATCAGCTTTGATTTGTCAGACTAGTGGACTAATGTCTTACACTCAAGCTCAGTTATTTTCCTCTCACTTTCATAGCAGAGTTCATCTCGGCTCAACAGAAGATCAATAGTGATTCAGTCAGAATTCATAATGACTAATACCCTTTGCCACTATTATGATCTGAGGACTCAGCACTAGTGAGCTGCAGTCTTTTCCTGTTGGATTTCTTATTTTTACTTTGAAATAACCTTATCCATGACTGACGATTGAAATGGTGAAAGGCATATACAGTATCAAACAACATTTTCTATCATGATTTAGGTCAAATCATGCAGATTTTAAGCAATCACACGAACCACTTCTTCTGCAAAGACACACTGCAGGACTAGATTTTTGTGTGCAGCCCAACAGACTTTCTCTAAATATTTGAAAATATTGGCACAAAGCATATATACTGCACGCATGGGGACACTGTGCCATTTTGCCTGCTGACATATAAACCCGACTTTTCCCCTTCCACTGTCTGTTTCTCTTGATTCAAAGAGAAAAACAGCAGGGGGTGCTAGATATCAGAGGGGCAGCTCTTTCATGACTGTAGCCTTTTCATCAGGCCTTGCCCTTTACTTTAACATTCAACAGAAGGTTTGTTAGGAACTGTGACACTGACAATGATTTCCTGGTGAAGCTCACAGCAAAGATGCCATGATTCATTCAAGAATCCTTCGAGGCGCTAGACTTAATGTCATAAGTATGAATGGAGCATACGCTGCTTCAAAGATGTTGAAAAGTACACACTGTGTTTTTATGACACAAAGTCTCCTTTAAGAATAAATGTGTAATACTGAATTTAATGGAAGTAATCATTCAACATAACTCTGATCCCCAAAGCCAGTGTTCGCTTGACTCATTCTGCAGTGTTATATGGATAATAAATAACAATTTAAGCAGATGCTGTGTACAGACCATAGACTTCACTGTGAATAACCACAAAACATAATGTTATACACTAATAGCATCCCTGTTCTCTTTCTTTAGTCAAAACCTGTATCTGTCTGTGTGTGTTGTGGATAAATTATTCACAAATAAACAAATACTGCTGTAAATAATTCAACAGCAGAAATGTTCCCATACTGTAAAAACATTTGGACATTTATAAAATATTGATGAAGTTGAGGCAGATTTCCCCTTTAAATATCGGAGCTCAGAAGACAACACAGCTCAAAGGATAAAAACCTTTTCCTAGGAGAGCAGCCTAACCATGGGACTTTGGAAAGAGGATTAGTACATGGAGAACAAGTTATTTATCCCTTTAAGTGTTGTGACAATTCATGCAGTTTATGGGAAACAGTGAAAAGTTACATGAGTAAATTGTGTTAGGGTTATTTGTATGTAGGGGATCACAATTTTGTTTCAAACTGCTTTTCTATCTATCTTTTATTTTCCTAAATATAGGCACTAGTTGCACTTTAATGCAGCCAAATGCAACCTCAACACTCACCAGTGACCAGAGGGTTGATCAGGACATTTCTATCTACACTCACCATTATAACAGAGTTACTGCACCGGATTACATTATACTGACATTATACTGTGCAGGTGTTGCTGTTATTGTATCCACCCTCTCCCTTCCACATGGTGCCGTTTAGGCCGTGCGCCCTGCGGCTGACGTGGTTGCGCACGAAACTATGAGCGAAGTTATGAAGCATTAAAGCTGCAGCACCCTTCACACACATCTATTCCTCCAGGTAAGGGGGGGAGGGATCGGGTTGGGGGGTGTTGGAGGGAGGGCTCTTTGCTCCTGGTCGAGCCTGACAGTTTCGCACTATTGGCTGACAGCAGTGGGAACTCTTACCTGTACCTGCGGGAAGGAGTGCCATTCGTCATCGTCCGACTCCGAATCAGGATCGACCTTTTCTTCCTCCGGCAGCCCAGAGAAGTAGAAGTCGGCCAAGACGGCTGGAAAGTGAAGCAACGACTGCACCAGGACTCCGAGCATGGAGCCTATCACGTCGTGGAGCGAGGAGAGAGTCAGCGAGTGGCTCCAAGGTGAGGAACATATTGCGTGGGGGGGTTTCTCACGCCTTGATCGCCTCACAGGTACTTTGGCTCGGACGGGGAAGGTCAGAAATAGAAGCGCCACATAAATCCTCTTGGACGTGAAAGGTGGAGGTGGAATGAGGAAGTGGCCTGTGCTGAGAGAGGAGCCACAACAGTCTTGTTCTGATCTCTGTCAACAGCTGAAGTAGAAACGTACAAACTGCGTACATGGCTGTCTGTCCTCTAGAATATACTGTTTACTACACTTCAGTGCATGGATTCATTCTCTCGCATGCTGTTTGTTAAATGTAAGCTATTACTATCACCAGTACTAGAATATGGGCAGCAGCACAGGTGAGCCATTAGCAGTGCTTGAACGCAACTAAGTACATTTACTCAACTTAAGTATAGTTTTGAGGTACTAGTATTTATTTTATGCTACTTTATACTCCTACTTTATATGTCAGAGGGAAATATTGTACTTTTTATCCATTGCATTTTCTCAACAACTATAATTACTAGGTCATTTGCAGATTTCACCTAAATAACACAGTGTATAAAATAAAAGTAAAATATATACCCAGCAGTATATGGAATAATATATACTGTACCACTTTATTTATTAACACATCAATAATGATATATGATATATAATAATATAACACTGAATGCAGGATTTGTACTGTAAAAGGTGTATTTTTATAGTAAAGTATTGTTATTTTTACTTAGTAAGTGATGAAGTAAGTAAGTTATTTGAATATTTCTTCCACCCCAGGCTATAACATGTAATAACACATTTAAGACGGTGTATTAAGCCCAGCTTGTATTTTGAAGGGGTTTTAGTTACATTACTTCAAACTTATTCATATCATAATCTAATCATCATATAGTTTATTAACTATTTTGCAAGCAAATTATATAAATTATTTGTTTCCCAGACACCAGACACTTTTTTCAGACTTGATCGCTTGCATGTAGTGTCTTCATGCTTCATGTTTGCAGCCCTACTGATCTTCTCCCACTGTTAGTCCGTACTCCCTCTGCATGTCTCTGCCTGTACATGCATGTGACTTTATGATTGTGGGGTTTCCATTTATACTTGTGCGCTGCCTGTGGTTAAATCCGAAGTGTATGTGCTTTTGTGTCGTGCTGCCAGGTCTGGAGGACCCCGTGCATCAGTACCCGGTCTCGGAGTGGCATTTGTCGGGTCTGGATCTGCTTCAGTTGACCTCTCAGGACCTGGAAAAGTTGGGAGTGCATAAGATCGGACACCAGGAGGTCATACTGGAGGCTGTGGAGAAACTCTGCTCTCTGGTATGGGAGGAAGCAGCATCATGTGTGTTTGTGTACAGTGTCCATAGCAGTGCTCTGTGTATCCAAGGCTGTGGACGATGTGTGTGTGTGTGTGTGGACGATTGTGCTCTGGGTATTTACTGAGCAGTCATCTTCTTGTCTTGCTGCATTGTAGTGTGTATGTTCTGATATTAAGAGCACAGAGATGTATTTTTTCCACCATCACACTGTTTTTAGATCCTGCTCTTGTTTGCACAGTGAATACAGCAGCTGTTGGACAAATTCAGCCAAAATACACAACTGCTCTTATTGCCATACAAGTCCTGTTTCACTGAAGTGCACTCAGTGCCTTTAGCAACATGCAGCAAGTCTGTGTTGCCTCACTTTGCCCTCCACTTTCATATCAAAATCCCCCTAGTCAAGCATATCATAGTAAAATAGTTACTTTATTTTTCTAGTTAACATCAAAAGACTAGTCATGCTTCAACTGCAGCCAGAGCAGATTTAGAATACAAAAGCTTGCGTCTGATTCTTTACATGCAAATGTCTGGGAAAGTTTGTAGTCGGCAAAAAAACCCAAAAACGTCTGCATCCCCTTTGAAGCTCTATCCCGTTTAGTTTTCCTTCTGCCTAATTAATTTTCCTCCCTGTTCAATTTTGAGAGGGAGTTTTAGGACACTTAAATAGTCGTGTTGGTGTGTGTGGGGGTGTTTGTGTGTTTCCAGAATGGCCTTTGTTTCAATGGACTAATTGAGTAGGACGGTACCAGGCAAGAGTCCAGATCTGGTGGTGTAACAGTCTGTGAGCATCAGACTAAAGCTCAGGCTGCTTAAACTGCTTGTCGTCGACTTGTTGTAATAAACGTAATACTGATTGAAACAGTCATAAAGAGTTTAGCCCAAAGTCTGAATGAATGAGTGTGTGGATAAAGCCTCCCTGTAGTAAAAGCCTCATGTGTGCACTTGTGTGAAATTGTTTGAAATAAGACTAAGATTAGAACGCAGATACACCGTGCACATCTTTCAGCACAGCGTGTGTGTGCATGTGCCTGCCTCTTGATGCTCTTGTGAAGTGCTAACACTGTGCTCATTCATGAAAAACAACCATCAGATGCTCACATGGAAACACATTCAAGTGCACAGTTACATAATTAACAACTACAACATTGACAAGGCCATGAAAGATTCATGGCCACTTGCTGACGAAGAAATGTTCCGGCTGGTTGAAGCGTAACAACAAAGCCCGACAGGATCAGACCTCTTGACCACCGATGAGTGGGTCACGACAATCACCTGCTCCTTCTGCAGTGGTTTTGAAGAGTCACGTCTCACACCGTTGGGCAGGAAACGGTGATGACATACTGTATGAGAGAGGAGCTGTATTTATTTGATGTGGTAGATTTAGTGGATCTCTGTTGCGTTAGAGGCCTTTCTGATATTTAGTCTACCATTGTAGATAACAATAGGGTGGACTCATTATAACACAACAAAACAGCAGCATTAGTGCTGCATTAGTTTTAGCTAGGTGTATCTGTACCTGTATTTGGACATTGAGCAAAAAATCAACATTATATTGACATGTTAAGGTATATATATTGGCTAAAAGGTGGTATATTTGCCCTTTAATAGCTCTGTGTGTATTATGCAATTGTGAGCAGTGTTGCATATCAGTTGTTTTGTTGTGCTAGATGTATGCTTTATGATTTTTCTACATTCATAGCTAGATAGCCGATTTGCCAAAAACTGATATTACTGTATGTTTTCTCCACAGTTTCTCAATAGATTTTACATAAACGTTACTAAATCACAATATATATCAATACCATGACCAAATATGCTGTGGAAATGTCTGACCTGACGATCAGCAATGTTGTCTTTCAACATACACAATTTTTACAACATACGAATTGAACCAGGGATGTTGGGATCACAGTATATAAAATGCATCTCAAACAAAAAGCCTTGCACTTATGTGGACTAAATATGCATTTAACATCACAGATGATTATTGTTATTGCTCTCCAGACGTATGGTATAGGTGGTGAGAATCTACGCGGCCTGACAGAGAAGCTGCGTGCCGTTTCCCACACCCTCCAGATGGGCATCCAGAGTCGCTGGCGCCTCAACAACTACGATGGCCGCAGCACCACCAAGCTGCCGGCTGGCATTCTGCAGGTGGTAGTGGAGCTCATCACCTCTGCCAAAGGACTCTTCTCTTTGCTCAGCCGGTTTGTAAAGAGGCAGTTATCTAACCGTTATATATCCAGTACTTGAAGTTCTATTTTATTCTACAGTTATTTTTTACTTGCTGCTGTGTCTTATAAGAATATTTGTGGCTGTAGATTTTATTGCTGTAAAAAAAGATGGCTGTCATTTAGAGGTGTAGCCTTTACATGGGAATGTCTTTGTTTATGCACTGACTATTGCTATTTACATGTTGTCCCTTGTTAAGAAAGCTGATACCCATTCCTTGCTGCTCTCTTTTATTTTCTCTTTGTGTGACTTTGTAAGATCCTTAATTTGTCTTTGTTCCTACTAATTACCAGTGGGGAATTAAATCATTGTGCTCGCTTGCAGTAAGTACACCCAGTCTCTATCCAGACTCATTTGAAATACAACCCCTGTCTTTCCAGGTATCAGTTTTTCCAGCTCAGTGGATACACCACCAGCAAGAACATATTCAGCTACTGCAGAGAGCTGGGAGAAATTGTCCACAAGGTTGGTCTATTTATGCCTGTAAGCAGTCCATCGAATGCCTTTTTTTTTACGCAAACTAAATAGCTTGTTTTGTACACTTTCCAGCACGTGTTCATGAAAACATGAGGTGTTTTATCTGAAGAGGAACCACACATGACTAAAACATGTTTGTAGTGGTGTTTTCATGCACACTAAACTTCCAAAGAGGAACTACAACCTGTTGTGTGGTCAGCTATTTCTTTTTAAAATCAAACCCTAAAATGCAACGGGGAAAAACAGAAGCACAAACACACACACACACACACACCGCTGTTCCTCAGCTTAGCTTGAGTAATGCATTCTTTATCTTTACATTCCTGGGATATTTGGAGGCGGCTGTACCTTGAAGAAGCTTAGGTTGAAAGGATTGCCAGAGAAGGGGGCTGGATTTTGTTTGTGTTTACTCCTTCGTGGTAGTATGAAAAGTTTGAAAGAAATGGGAGGGGGCAGGAATATTTATAACTGTATGAATGTAAAGTGGGTGAAGAGTGTTCACAGGTAGTAGAAGGGACAAGCCTGGATATGTTGTAGCGCCTAGGGGAGGGAGGAGGGGAGGAAGGAGGGGAGGGAGGGACGCAAAGGGGAAGGCAGAGAAAGGAGGAGGAGACTGCGAGAGGGATTGCACTGACTGTTTAATGACTTCTGACTCCTGGGGGAGCTGCATGTCGCTGAATGAACAGCAGACAGAGCAACAGGCAGAGAAAGACTATTAACTCTGAAAAGTACGCCGTAGTGACATTAGAGATAAAGAGCCTGACAGAAGTGAGGCAGAGGAGAGGACAAAGAGAAGATAAAGCCACAGGGGTAGCAGCAGAGCAAGAGGTAGTTAGAGAGAGGTAAGGAGACAGTCAGAGGTGCAGAGAGGCTGTGGGTGAAAGAGGAGGCTCAGTATGTAGAGGAGTTTATATATAGCCCTCTATAGCCAGCTCTGGACACCTGCCCAGCACAACAGGTACAGTTCTCACCTCTTTGATTGGATAATTCTCCACAAGGTGATTTGCTGCGTTGCTTGACTGCTTAAAGCCTGAACTTATATACAATATTAAGTATTTTTTGCTTGCTGGTTATAATTTAAAGCTTTAAATAATTATGTGTAGATTTTCTGGAATGCTCTGTTGCCTTTAATGGATAGATAATAAAGTTGGAGATCTACTTACCATGTAATGTTACACATTTAGCTATTCACAAGAGTTGAATAAAGGTTGTGGCCTCTACACTGGTGTACAGTAACAGTGACATTATTCTTACAGACCTGAGGGGTAGGAAGGAAGTATGGATTTCAGAGACTTGTTGAGCTCGTTGAGTCTGATAGGATGTTTTTTTTGCCATTGCTATGTGAATCAGATTTGGGCCCGTTGAGTGTTGTTTTCTTTCATGGCACTGAGTGAGTGATTTGTAAGTTAAAACCCTCGCTGCTTTTGTTATTGGTCGCTCGCAGGGGTTGATCATCGTTTGTAATGTCTGGCCATTGTTTGCTCAATTCCTGTTTTTGAACTTTGTGCTCACTTGTGTACTAGAGCATGCAGGTGTTTTAAAGGTAGGAATTATTATCCATAAAGACGTAGTTTTATACTGAGAGCACTGTGTCCAGTGAGGTCAGTGTCATGTAAAATAGTTTTTGGTTGGTCAATCATTGAAGTGAAAACTGTTTTAAAAGATCACATAGTAACTCATTCCATTCACAAAATAACACTGGAAATCAATAGGGTAATTTCATATCAATAAAAACCTGCATAGTACATGTTTTTACAGGTGCTGTCTAGTTATTAATTACAAAAACCCTTGACAAGTGAGTTAAAAGGTCAATTTTTGACTGCTGAGAAGCTCAGACATCTGTTTAACAGACAATAGAAAATGTGAAATCTGACGAACATAGGTTCAGGCTTCATCTGTGAGTTCAGCTGTCATCATAGCATTATAAACCTGCAGCACAGGCTTTGAAGAAGAACATATTGATTTACACACACATGCTGTACAAGCGAGTCACATTAGTGTGCATTCGCTGATGAGTGTGTCTCCATACCATAGCGATTACATCAGCAGTGTAACATTTACCATTGCACTCATACAGACTGGCATGGTCTTGGCTTATTACAATTAGCTCCTGGCTAATTGAGGCTGGTGTCATGCCCCCCTGGGACATTTCTGACGTCCTATCAGGAGGCCATGGCTTCATCATGACGTCCTTTTCTTGCGAACTGTTCCCATAAAAGCTACACCACATCCTTTACACCAAAGAAAGGACTATTATTTCCTGTTTGTTTGTGTGCGTTTGAGCTATGTGTGTTTCTTCTCGCACCCTGAGGGTGATCAAGGTCAGTAGTCAGCTGGTGTTGTTGGGATCCCACGCATAAAGTTGTCAAGTCTCAGTTTTGCTCAGTCTGCTTTGAACCAGCCAAGCAGCAAGCAAAGTCCAGGAGAGAGACAGAAATGGGAAAGAGGGCCCTGTCAGCTGTGAACTTGGATATGAGAGCAAAAATAAATTTTGAAGCATTACATTAAGGTATGTGAGTTTAATTCTGTTCTGAAAAGGACAACATTTCTTTTGCAAAATCTAACTTTGGAAAGGGTCTTTGACCTAAAAACCAACTATGTAATGCTTTGGAATAGAAATGGAAACATATAATAATAGAAACAACACAAACATGTAATTAAAAATTACTTAATAAGCAATGTTCAGCATTTCTCTTAGGACTTATTTAAAGCTCAAGATAGAGGAAACAATAAGAGGCTTGAATGCTATAACTTATTATTTATGGTGCTGAAAAAGAGCACAAGACGAATCTAATGCAGAGAGGAGTGGTAAAAGGAACAGGGGCAGTACGATTTGGATGGAGGTGAGGAACAGGTGTAAAAGAGATCTAACATAGTGATGTCTTGCAGTCTTTTTATAGCAACCTGGCTGTTGACTGCATGGTGGCAAATAGAAACTGGTGAAGTCCCAGTATGTAAACACACACTCAGAGGCAGACAGAACATGACAGGGCTCGTCTGGTTTATAAGCCTTTGATATGTCGTATATGAAGTTGCTATCAACAACAGAAAGGAAATGGTTCAATTGTGTGTAATCAACTGTCTGTGTTTTCCTACACAGGTCCATTCATGTGTCACTGCATCTTTGTGTGATAGTTTCAGCCTTTTTTGTACATGTGTGCCCATGCATGCCTGTGTTCATTCTTGTTGTCCGCTTTTTTTTAAGAATGTTACACCCACATAATAGCTTGTCTTTGTTTCCAAGACAACTATTGAGAGAACAGCTTTCAGGCACAGAACAGTGCTGTAAAGTTAGCTCACCACCTGATCGAGCCACACACAATGCTGCACAACACCAGACCTTTTCTTCTTCTCATGTGAAGTAGATGCATGTTACTATACAGTCCAGAAGAAAGCAAAGACATTCATACTTTTCACCCTTTTTGACAATGCTGCAAATCCCTGTTGGGTGAAAAGCTGAAAGATTTCTGCCTTTTTTTTCTGCCTTAGAATTTCTATTACTATTGAATCTTAGTGCAGCTCATTCTGTATGGGGTTGTGTACCATTTATTGATGGTCTACAGTAATTGTAGCTAATGTGTAACTATTGTAGCTGCAATAGTCGAGTGGAATAAAAGGTCAACCTTGAATGTCAGTCTGTGCTGTCCATACAATGAAATTATTGTTGTTTTTTTTTGTGATGGCAATGTAGGAATTGATAGTTAGGAATTTAACATTTTGGTGCCACACCGACAGCCTTGTGTGAGTGCCAGCGCTGCCCTCGGCCCCCCGGTTCTGCTTTAGTTGATGGAGAACTGAAAGGGCTTAATTTCCACAGTAACTGTACCGTTTGATGTGACAGTCTGTAAATTCGCAAAAGATGGTTGCCATTGTTATTAGAAGATAAATAAATTGAAGTGGAGCAGGCACATGCTAGAGGCTGCTGGGGACTAAACAAGTCTAAAAGTGTGACCCCTGCAAAGGCATCATATGCTTCATATTCGTGTGTGCGCAAATAAATTCTATTTGTGTATGTACTTTTACTGTGACACTCCTTAGTTAAATAATTCAATTAAGTCAAAGAGTAATAATGTTTGCATGTATTTGTGGTTTTAAGCATGAGGATACAATGCCTCTTTGTGTCTAGAAGTCATCCTGACTGAGGAACCAGGAGTGAGAGCTGTGGGTTTGTTCTCTGTGCTCTTTGTTTTGCCACCACACCCTCCTGATATTACATTAGTTTCAGGGCTGAAGTGTACCTGTCCCACCTCACACACATTAATGTGTGGTTTCCCCGTTCTGGCAGAGTTAAGAAGAAATATAGAACAGTTTATATATAGAAATCTGACATGGCAGGACGTATTTTTACTGTATGTTTAAAAAGCAATGTGAGATGCTGGGAAGAAAAAGGTGTTAGTATATGAATGAGTCAGAAGCCATGGTGCGTGGTAGGAGGTGGTATAACAAAATCTAAACGATTCAAGCAACTATTCCCATTACTTCTACTACTAGATCACACTTACTCTCAAGTTAAATGAGAGTTTCTTTGGTTTAAACCATTGTTTCTGCATTTGTTTCACTTGTCACAGTGAATCCTGTTTGCATTTAGCTTACTTCGCAGTCTTAACCTGGCTTTAAACATTCATTTTTATTGCCCTAATAGGTCAGGTTTACCATAAAATTTGCTTTGTAATTCACTACAATATGAAATGTTTAGCCACGCTAGTGACGTGGCTCTAAGGTTTGGAAGGTCATTCTTTTGGTCAGTCCACCAAGTATGTCCAGACAATAAAAATCTCAACAACTCCTGGAAGGCTTGACATGAGATTATACATTCATGGTCCTGATAGAATGAGGCCCGCCGACTTTAAGGTCCTCTGATCCATGATTCCTTTTGAATGGATTAATATAAAATCTTGTATAACCATTCATGTTCCCCTCAAGATGAATTGTAACAACTTGGGTGTTTAGTAATTAGCACCTTTTAGACTGTTAAAATGTTAAGACAGCGTGTTGGCGTCGTCATTGATAGCATGTTACTATATACTATAATATATAATGTAGCCTCAGTGCTGCTAGCATGGCCGTCTTAGTCTTGTTTTAAAAGTCTTTCTTGCGATTGCCTTTAGTTTCTTGTGGTGTTGTTACGTGGCACAAACTCCTCTTCGTGGCTAAGTCGCCTGTAATCTATTTTCATATGCATTTACCAACGTTTGTTTGCACTAATAATATAAGGTTAGCTGTCTCTGAGGGAGGTTGCAGCTTCATCTTCCCTCTGTATTTTTAAGTGAAGTTGTGTGTTGAAGTTCTGTTTTAAATATCGGTCCTAAATTCAATGTTTTTCTGTCTGTTTATGCTCTGAATGAAGCTCTGAACAGCTAGCCAGCTATTTAACTTAACATTAGTCACTACATAGTGCATACAGCCAGGGTGCCATGACAAGGCTACTTTGCTTGAGTAGGGATCAAGATAGTTGTTTATGCACAACCTTTAGTGGTTTGTTGTGGTCTAAATCAATATATAAGCAGGTTCTGCATCTCTCAAATGCCCTGGGGGGGAATTGCAGTACACACACTCACACACACACAACAAACAAACACCAAGCAGACAAGCTGAACTGACCAGCAATCATGACAGCAACCTCTCCCAGTACCTCCCAGCAGCCTTGTGTCACAACCTTTAATTAGCACAGAAATCCAACCGTGTTCACTGTTGATCCCTTGTTACATTTCACAGGGATTAGTTTCCCTTTACAATCCTTTATGTAACCCATCACACCAGCAGGCGGTCCAAATTAGCTTAGGCAGTAATGGTATGTGGCAGGTATGTGGTCTATTAAGTGAATATTGTATGCTGTGTAAACATCTACCCTCTTCTCTTTTAACCTCCTTCATCATCCTCCTTCATTCAAAGCCTCGCCCTCTTCGTAATGTTTGTGGGATCATCATCAACACCTTCCTCCCCACCGGAGATTAACTGTGACATTGACCACTGACTTCCCCATTTGTGTGCGTGTGGGTGTATAAAGTGTATATGCATGTGTGCATGTGGTTGATTAGTGTGATCCCTTGGATGAAGCGGATATTACACACCTCTGACGGATTTCCCCCTTGTTGTAATGCCAAGTTTATAGAATACAGTATATGTTATGTCTTATTTTCATTAATCATGAGCACTGATATGAGAAACGCCAGCAAAATACCACTAAAGGTCTGGAATGAGTGAGTCTCTTGCCTCTGGATACCTTTAGCCTTTCACTTCCTGACTCATGCTGTGAAGAGGAAATGGCACATGAGTTCTGACTCAGACTGTCCCATTTCCACAAATCAATAACGTGGTGTCATTTTGATTTTGCACTTTGGTGCTTTGTTTGGCACTCATGTCATGTTGTTTCACTCATCCAACAGGATACGACTGTCTATGAAAAGGAGAAGGACATCATCTCTGTGGTGAGTGTACAAAGTATTTCGATATTTATGTTTGTTTATATATATTTTTTTATATATATTATATTGTGGTTTGTTTCACCCTCTAGTGCCGTCAGTTGGTTGCGGTGTGTGATGAGATCTTGAATTCCAGCCCTGAAGCCCTTCTTACCCACACTGCTCAGCTCGAGAGTGTCGACCTGGTTCCTGTGTCACCTGGTGATCAGCTGGTAAAGCCTTCTTGCTCTTAATATCTCTTTTTTTTCATTATTATGAAATCATTTTTTATGTCTGTTTAGTGCTAACACTATATATTATACATACATGTACAGTAACTAAATATAAGAAATGTAAATTTAATTATCTTATTCTGAAATTAGTCACCAACTACTCAACAGTGTAGTAGTTGGCACCTATTGTAATAATTAAATTGTTTATGCAGCTTCTAAACTAGGCTGATTTTCTATGTCTTATCGGTGATGTGAATATTTCTGACTTTTAGACTGTTAGTCAAACATTACACCATGTTAGACTTTGGGAAATTGTGAGGGGCATTTCTTTATTTAAATATTTTCTGTCATTTTGCAAACAAAATAGATTTCTTAAGAAAGAAATCATGATATTAATCAATAATGAAAACCGTCATGAATCGTTGGCTCACTATGATTATCTCCATATACTTTATACAATTCTGATAATCATACTATACCAGCAAGGAATTATTTTGAAAAAAAAAGAAAAGAGAGTCACTGGCTGCTGACACAAAATCCTCCAATGTGAGTGATATAAAAGAAAACAGTCAGTCCTGTTTGATCTTGTTTCTTCTTTTTGAAGAATTCTTAGCTGGGCTGAATGTTTTTTTTTCTGTTCATCATCTGTTCGTCTGTTCTGCATCTCAACATCTCATTATTGCCAACCATCAACTCTTACTCCGTCTCTTTTTCCCTCTCACTCTCTTTCTGTCATTTTCAGTATTCATTTTCTGCCTTCATCCTTGCCTGGAGTTTTCCATGATCATTTGGTTCCACTCATCTCTTCTTTCTCTAACTCAAGGTTGTCCCTGTACTATTCTTTTTATTCTCTCCTTAAACCTTCTTCTTTTCTTTAGTTATTCATAAACCTTCTGTTCCTGCCTCCTCTCTTAATGCATTAGCCTTCAGTCACTACATTGCATACAACAATTAGTCCTCTTCCTGGCCTATTATGAGTGTTTCTCAAACTTTTACACCGCATACCACATCAGAAGACATTAGGCTCTCCATGTACCACCATAATGGCCGAAGTCAAAATATAGTAGCACAGGCCGACCCTGTTCAGTTACGGACAGTTTGCAGGTTTATTCCAAATAAGAATATTTATTATTGGCTGTCCCAGTAGCTCCTTGTTTGGAGTCACAATGACAGAGTTTTAGAACCATTCATTTTACCTAAGCTTCCTATCTTGCCATCACATTTTAGCTGATATTGAAACAAAATATTACAGAAAATGCAGTTTTTAAAGTTACATTTGAGTTTTTATAGATTTTAGAGATCCCTCCTGAACCACTAGAGGCAGCTTGTGTACCACCAGTGGTACACGTACCATAGTGTGAGAACCACAGTTTATTTCTACAGAGCAATTTTTAATAATACATTTGTCCAATTTCCTCCCCTTTGTGTACTCAGCTTATTAGGTAAAAATGTTAGATGAAAATAGCAGTCCTATTTCCTTTGTGCTCGCTCACTCGCTCTATTGGTTTTCCTAATCATTTCCAATGTGTTGTCTTAAAAGCAAATATGTGCATTTCCTAGCTCCACCTCATCACCTGTGATTCTGTAGACAAGCATACATTTTGTTTGTGTTTGGGTTCATATTTGTGTGTGTCTCCGGGTGGCTGCAGGTGTGTGAAAGGAGCGGGTTTTAGCTAAAGTGTTGGGAGTAATTCTTCACAATGTTTCGACTGTGGAACAGGATAATATTTACAAATGTCCTCAACAACTAGGAGCAAAACAAGAAATTGATTGGAGCACATCACATCATAACGAGGTCTGGCCTCTAAAGGATTGAAAGTAATGAGAACTAATGACAGAAAGAAAGGGAAGTGAGAAGGAGGGAGGAATTATAACCCACAGAATGCACAAAACATGACGTACACTTGCTCAATTCTTAAAATAAATGTAGTAAAAAATAAGAAAAAAAGCTTTTTTTCTCTTTCACTTTCTTCAAATTTAAATGTATTCCAGTCCCAAAGGAGAAGTATAAAATCATTTTAAGCTTTGAGCTTTGACCATAATGATTTGTACCTGCAGTGTTGGGACATGACTAACACAATAGTGACTCAGCTTACATCCTTATGCATTGCTAGTAAATGTGTTAGTTTAATGCTCATCAAGTGTTTTCATCAAGCATAAAAGCCTTTTGTTTGGATATAAGAGAAAAACTAGAATTACCACCCTGCAGTTCTTTGCTTCCGCCAGCCAGTCACGTCCATGTCTTTCCAGACTGAGTGGTGAATTCTTGAAAATGAATAAAAAAAAGTATAAGGTGTATTTTTTTGCTAAATGGAACTATATTGATGATGTATATGTATGATTCAAGTGAATATACATTACACATGTACTTGACTAAAAAGCCTAAAGATCTTATATCTTTTATATATTTTTAGCTGTACAAAATGTGGAAGCTTTTCTATGAACTGTAGGATCCCTTATGCTGCAATACGATGCACGATTCATTCTTAAATTATGGCTAAAACTGTGGCCAATTCACTGTCCAACCAACTGAGAAATGTGGTCTAATCATTCATTAATCTGTTCAAAAATGTATATATTCACTGAAATCATACATATGTACCATCAACTTACAATACCTTTGGCCATAAAATATACCTTTTATATATACCTCTAATATCTAGACAGACATGTAAACTGCAACCTGACTGGTATAAAATTGCAGGGTGGTCATTCTAACTGTGTTTCACTATATTATCATTCATGATCTGTCTAAGCCTCCACTCATGGCTCATATATATCTTATATCTTATCTTATATCTTTATCTTATCTTATATAATATATTCTGAATATATATAGTATGTTGTATTTATGACTGATGGGAGGGAATGATTTCTTAGCCTCTGTTCCCTTTGAGTTCATAGTTTAAATGTTTCTCTTGTCATGCGATATGTATTGATTATGTGATCCAGGCTTTCTGGGGTGTGATAAGTTGGCTCTCCTCATTCCCATTATGACTTAAAATAATCAATCAAGGCAGCCTGATGGGTAATTACAGGCTGAACCATCAGTACATCTGGAGACAGACATCAATATATCCACAGAACAGTGATGACAGTAACAAGATAAAGCAATGTTTATGAGTCCATTATAGGTGAATCATTTCGACACTGACATTGTGTATTGCAAAATATGTATATAACATTCTTCTGTTTCTCTCTCTCTCTCTTAGGGGATTGAGATAACGTCCACCAGCTCCAGTAACCACTACGTGACCGGAACCGCTGCTGAGGTCAGACTCTCTCCTTTACTTTCTTGCTTTCACCGTTGACTCAGCCCACAGGCCACGCAGAGTAAACTATCACTGATTTCTCAGTGCTCTTAACCAATCCTCTGAAAGCACCGTGACTCAAGCTTCTCATTCCTCTTGAACTCCAGACCAAAAGGTTAACTTCAATTACAGTTTGTCTTTTTGCAAGCGCCCCATGAAGAGAGGGGGGTGTTGCATCCAAAAGGCCTTACAATGTTTCATTTCTTAACCGGCTCTATCTTGTTAAAAAGTGTAACAGGTAACAAGCTGTGACTGTTTGGCTCAGGCCTGTCAGGTATTTCTGCTGGAGAACACTTTTACACTTGTTTATACTTTTCCAGTTGGAAGGTTTTGATCAGCTTAACACAGATATTGCACTTGTTCTGTCTGGGTGCCTTATCTAGAAGGAACTGGAGGTACATTTCCAGTTGTGAGGAAGAAAAATAAAGAAGAATGATCAGTTTTCCTTTTTCTGGCTCTTTACAAAAACTCTCTGCTTTATTTGTGGCAAATAAAACAATTTAGTGATTGGTTTTGGTGGCAGGAGAATCAATATACAATGATGTCCTTTTCTACTTTGAACTATGCTCTGCACAGTTGCACAAGTATAACATTTTAATGTGGATACATTTATTGTGGAAGCATGACAGTCAGAAATCCCCTTGAAAGTGTATTTGTGTGACACTTTATTTTTAGCTGTTGACTTATCTTTCTTTGCTTCACTGGTTTGAAATTGAAACCAATCTGAGCCCTTGTGCTGCAAATACTTTATATATTTATAAATGTCTATTTGAGTCTGCTGACTGCATGTAAACAAAGAAGCATGCAGTCAGTACATAACACGTCATGGCTTATTTTATATGTATTTATAATTAAGATATTTTTCTGGTCTGAATAATTTGATAGTCACACCTATAGTAGCTGATTATTAAACTGCATAGAACCACAGGATTCCCTGGGAAAATGAAATCATCCCACGGAAAGAGCAAAGATGCAAGGCTCTCTGAGAAAGCCAAAGATCAGTTGGATCAGGGGGCTCCATAAAATACACTTGGGAGTGATGAGGGAATGGAGGAGTGTTCAGCCTGAATAAGGAGGGCTTGTAAAATGAGTGCGAGTGTAGCTTGCTTGTGGGACATCAAGATGGAGATGTTATTTTTTTCCATGATGTCAACAACAAAGCATTCTCGACTCCCCTGCTACTGCAGTTACATCACTGCGACGTGACCACTGCGTACACTGCATACTGAACCCACACACACAGTACATCCTGTGTGCTGAGAAAGCACCCATATAATTATAAAATCAACCTGGGCACTATTCCTGTAATGTGTCCACAAAGTTATTATTCAATTTCCCTGAATCGCCCTAGGATTTCCTCATGAACTGCTCAGTATAGGTTTTACTGTCAGATTCTGCCGCACCAGCTATTCCTTTTAATAATTTTATGATATATATAATATAATAATATAATTTTGTGCATTGCTTGATTTTTGAAATATTTTTGCAGCAGTGTGATGAAGTTTTCTTGATATGTCAAGTATTTAGTTCACTGGATCAGCCAAACGCAGACCTTTCCGTCATTTTCCAATAATCTTAGCTATTAACAGTTTCTATTCTATTTTCCAGGAAATTTACTTAGTTACAGACAGTGTTAACATTAATTTACCTACATTTGAAAATTGCGATTAACTGACAGATAATAGAAATACATGTGACAGTAAATTACAGCAAATTTCCAGTCTCTAGTCATACATTTGTTATTAAATTAATATACACCGATCAGCCATAACATTATGACCACTGACTGGTGAAGTGAATAACACTGATTATCTTGTTATCATGTTGTACTGTACCTTAAACTGCTGAAAACGTTTATGCTGGTATTGATAGAAAGGTTTTAGAACACACAGTACATCGCAGTTTGTTGTGTATGGGGCTGTATGGCTGATCAGTGTATAAAGACAAAGAAAAAGTTAAAGACATAGGAGTGTGGAAGAACCTTCAGCCTGGGTTTTATTTATTATGAGTCCTTACTGAGGTTGCTTGTCTTTCCTTTTGCAGCCTTCGGCTGATGTCTATGTGAAGATCTTGGCTGGTGATGAAGTGATTCAAGTCAACGACCAGATAGTGGTGAGTGTTATATAATATATACAGTATGTATACACGAGCCTGTGTGTTTGTTGCACTGCTCCCCTGCACAGTATGCATGTGGTCCTCTCAGTCTTAGGCTTTATATCAGTATGAGCTATAAATTGTCTTAGCTCTAAAGTAGATGAGACAAACCTGTGTACATTCACTGTTCCTGCAAAGTGTTCCAGTGTCTGAAACAATAACCTTCAACCTGGAATTATTATCTGTGCTGCTGCATTAGGTGGGCTGGAGCAGAGCTAATCTTGTAAAGAAGCTGCGAGAGAATCCCAGTGGAGTGACCCTGGTCTTAAAGAAGATTCCTGGGTCAGTGCGACGCAGAGACCCAGTCCAGCTCTCTCCCACACAGGTCAGGGGTCATTAAAATCAACTCTATCAACTTCTATACTCTTCTGATTTACAATAAAAGTTGTACTACTACTCAGGACATTTGGTATGGATATATTAATGAACCATAGGATGAGAATCATAACTAAAGTCATTCCCCTTGAGCAACACTTGAAGAGGTGTCTTAAAAACGAAAGGCTAGATTTCTATGAAAATTGCTGCAGATATTCTTGGTCCCTGCAGGAAAAAATACACATAAAAAATCTCCAAATGTCATGTTCACAAGAAGATGAGTACTCAATAAGCTTTTGTTTGCTTCGTTTTGACCACATGACCTTTCCTCTGAGAATAGCAGAATTGTCACTGTGTTAGCTCCATCCAAAACTTTTATAATGTCTTTATATTTAATGAATAGTAGACATCGTTTGCTTTCTCATCCATGCGTCACACACAGTTTCTTCACCATTGACCCCATTTCAACAGAACATTGTTCTGATATGCACAAAAAATGTGCATATCAGCACTGTATACCAGTATATCAAATTATTCATGATTGTCCCACACAGGGACTTTTTTCAGGAATTATATTCTTGTTGCCTTTTATTCATACTTTCCCCCGGAAGCTTGCTGCCTTGAAAACTTAATTTGGAAATTGTCTAATCGTTTGTGAAGCCATTAGGAGAAACCCCCAGCCAACATCGTTATTGTTGCAGACATATAATTTTAATTTTCTACCACTTCAGTTTAAGATAATTACATCCAGGGGTGAAACATCAGAACATCCTTCAGAAACTGGATTGTTTGCACAATTTATGTCAGGGGAATCTCAACCTTCCCTTACACGAGAATCCCCTCTTCGATTTCCGTTTAACATCACTTGGGATCCGTTTCCATGAACACTATTGTTTGTCTTTGAACTACATACTGAATTACACACTGAATTACACACTGCATCTGAGACGAGCACACGCACACTCTGTGCGTTTCACACCCCCTTGTGACTATTACCATGTTAATCTCGGATCTTCCGCGTGTGTGTGCGCATGTGTTTATGTGTGCATTTGTGTTTGCGTGTGCATGTGTGTTGTTGTCTCATCTCCTAAGCCGCAGAGAACTGAGGAGAAGGCTGCCATTACAATCCACATGACATCCGCCTTTTTACCCCTCCACTAACCCCTGAATACACACAGAGTTTAGTGTGCACGCTCACATACTTGTGTTTCTTTTGACTTCTTTTCAGAAGGAGGAAGAGCAGAAAGAAGAGGAGGAAGAGGAAAAGGACGATGAGGAGAATCCGAGGCACTCCATATTAGAGAGGGTAGCAGCTTCTGTTAGGTCCCTGTCTTTTAGGTGAGAGAATAAATGAGCTTTTCTTCTAATAATTAGCTATTCCTTTCAATAATTCTGTGTTTTATTAGGTTGTTGTGTGAAATACTGGATTTTAATATAATCCTTTAATACAGTGGTTAAACCAGAAACAGAAATCCCCTACCGGGTTATTCATTTATTTCTATTTTACATCTCAAGTGATTTTCCAGAAAACAAGGCAAGATATATCGATATTGTGTTAAATTACAGTGATAGTCTACAGTCTACAGTGATAGTGGATTACTATATAAACATATACATAAATACAAATCTCAAAAAAAAATGTACAATTGTTTGTAAAGCCATTAGACTTAACCCCAAGCCACAGCCATTGATACACACATAAAGTTTTATTTATCTACTACTCAATTTCAGTTTAGGATGATTACATCCATGGGTGAAACACAAAATATAATACAGTTTCCATGCTGTAGTTTAAAGGTTCAGTGTGTAGGATTTAGTGGCATCTAAAGGTGTAGTTGTAGATTGCAACCAACTGTATATTGTTTGCCTTTAGGTCAAGGGAACCTGAACCTTCTCTGTCTCTGTTTTTGGTGAGAGCATACATTAGCTTTCATGCAAAATTTTTTTGCTCATCCAAACAAAGTCATTGCATTTAGCTGAATGATCCATACAACCAAAATACATTAATGTACCATACTTACAAATAGGAAATGTAAATGAAATGTACCTTGAGTCAAATCTGACCCCTAGTAGCGCTGTGGAGCAGTGTTTTAATGAGTGATAAAAATTCTTGCCAATGGTTTCAGTCTATTATACTGACCAGCAGGTGGCGCTAATGTGGCAAGAAATGTAGCAATGTGTCAGCAAAGTGCAGGGAAGAAGACTAGCAAACATGAATGTAAACAATGCAGGTTTCAAATTTCAAATGTTTTTGATCGGACACAAGGATACATGCAAACCTTTTTGTTTTATGGGTTTGGAAGATAACTCCACAGGGTACCTTTAATTGTAAAACACCATACATGCAAAATTGAAAGTTGTAGACAATTCCTTTGAAGCAAATCATTTGCCGTATGTGGCTCTCTCATCTAAAATATATTCTGTCTTTAAAATTAAATTGAAGTGATTTAATTTCCCATATGACTGATAAAAAGATTAGCTGATCCGTGGGAACTTGAACTGGAGTATGTTCAGGAGTGAAGGCTTAACATCTTTAATCATCATCTCAGAGCAGGTTGGACACAAGTTTGGTTCACTAAACTACTAAGGATTTACCCATCAGAGCCAAACCTCCCACGAACCCTTTTGACCTCATTAATCTGCCAAGACCTGGTAGGTTTTGCGATGAGGTCACACTGCAAATGCCATAAATTCCACTACACGCAGCCACAACCCACGGCTGACTGGAAATGAGAGAAAAAGAAAGCAATGAGGAGGAAGATAAATAGATTTTAGAGAGATGAAGAAAGACACAAACAAGGGGAGGAAAAAGAGTGATGGAGAGGCTTAAAGAGACAGTGAGAGCTGATGGAGAGCAGGCGTACTCAGACAAATGGAGGGAGTAGGCGGGGATGGTGCATTAAGGTTGTAAATAATCCTGTCACATCCTGATACACTACAACTCCAGTCTAAGGGAAAAAAACAAATACGAACTTTAGACTGCTGGCATATAGAGTCATATTTCACCTCTTTAAAAGACAATACAGGTCTTCAATGCCGTTTCACGTCATAGTAGTACGGCTTGTTATCAAAGATATCACATAGTATTCCAGTTGTGACCAGAGACTCTTTTCACCTCTTAAATGTTTTTTCCATTTATTCCAGGAAAGCCATTCACGGGCCAGAGGTACATAAGCAGCCTATGGGACAGGAGGAATCAGAATTGGCCTCTGACAGGGAGCTGGAGGGGAGTCTGACTCTCACATCATATCAAAACCAAGAGCGGGGGCATTCACTGTCAGTCTCAGGTGAAAAAAGACAAAGGGAACTCGGCAAGATGTTTTCTTAATGAACTTAATTGTTTCAGTTGTTAAAGCAGGATATTAGATATGATTTTGCTGTTGAGACAGAGGGTGTTTGTCAAAGAAATATGAAATAATAACTCCATATATATCACTTGGAATAAATGTTCAAAATGCTAAATGTTTTAAAATAGATCTGATAGCAGTTTAGATTTAGATTAGTAATTAGTCATTTTAAGCCTCAGATTGTGCACCTGATCCTCTTCTTTAATCACTTTATTTCTCTTTTTTTTTAAACACAATTTGAGGATTGTTTAGGTGAACATTTTGGCTTTCATTTTGCGTTGACATTAAAAGGATTTCAAACTGTGACCTCACACGGTTGAGATGACAACAGATCACAACATTCTCTCTTAATGGAAAACCAGTGATTATTAGTGTAATGGATTTATTAGCACTTGTACCACGCACACAGATGGGATTTGTCACCTGGATGCAGTGATGTTCATATATCTATAAAAGAATATTACATGCCGATTACTTACTGCTGAATAGGAATAGTTCTACTCTTACTTAACTGTGAACATGAATGCTAGAATTTGCTGTTATAATTTCACTAGGCACACTGCTGCTTCATGCAGGATGATCACATTCATGTGTGTTTCTCAGGGGAGTTTGAGGGTTTGGATAGTTCAAGGCTCTCCCCAAGACTGAGACGAGACCGGTCGCCTTCACCCAGAAGTCCTTCTCCCTCACTACTTGGGTCATTCAGAAGTCCTTCACCTCAAGGAGTCAACCAGGAAACAGCTAGCATAAGCTCCTGCCCTGAAATGGTGGGACACACGGTGCGACATGCACACATTTACGACCAGACATTTTAAATGTTTTCTTTTTTTAAACACTACATTTGAATTAAACTCTATTGGTTTCTGTTTTCAGGGGAATAAGGACAGAGAAAGAAGCTCTACAAAAGGTAAAAGTTTATGCTGTAATACTATATGAATATAATCAAAATACTCATTGCAAAGCTATAGGAGAGACCATCTTTATTAAAATCATTACCAAAACTAGGTCGTATTAAATTGACAGCAGGGTTCATAGGAGTTCAGGCCTATTTTGTGCAAAGTTGGAGTGTTTATCCTTTGAACATGTTTACATGGTCAAGAAAAAGTAAAGCCAATGTCCAAAGGTGAAAAACAAAAGCCCTCAGCATCAGGAAAATGGTTTTGTACCCAAGTAAAGATACCAGAACCAGACACCGCATCCCTGCTCCAGTGTTTGTTGATCTCTGTATCGAAATAAATCCTGCTCTTCTTCTTCTTCATCCCAACCCTTTGTCCTCCCAGGAATGACGACAGCTATGAGTCGGCGTCGTGTGTCCTGCCGCGAGCTTGGTAAACCCGACTGCGACGGCTGGCTGTGGAAGAAGAGAAAGGAGAGCAGTGTCTTCCTCACCCAGAAGTGGCAGCGCTTCTGGTTCGTCCTCAAGGGGCCTTCCCTTTACTGGTACACCACCCAACAGGTAGGAATGTTTAAATACCCCCTCCAGACATGTATTAAGACATATATGCAAATGGTCTAAAACAGTAATGTGTGTCTGATGTGTAATCTAATTTCCACATTAAAATCCTTTAAAAGGCATCTACTAGTTCTACCTAATTAAAAACGTCAGAATCTATGAATATGTAAATAGTTTTCCTGCTGGAAACTAAATGTCTCCTACTTCACTGTAATGTGCACTGGTGGCTTCAGGTTTTTACATCACACGCTGCACATACATCATCCTGCACACTGAAGCTAAAACATCCAACTTTAGGAAGAGGAAAAACATTTTTTGAGTGGAGACGGACTTTCATCTCTCCAGAACCAAACAACAACACAAACATGTGCTTCTTTTCCTTTAGCCAGTTTTACCCATAACTTTATTGAATTGTGTGTTTGTATTTGTTTTTTCTGCAGGATGAGAAGGCGGAGGGTTTTGTCAATATAGCCAGCTACAACATAGAGAGCGCTGGAGAGCACAAGAGAAAATAGTAAGGATGAACTCCATGATGGATCATATTAACAGGCTTTTATTTTATCTAGGAATATGTGAGGATTTGTATGTCATAGATATTTTGAAAGAGGAGAAAAAGTATTTCAATCTTTTAGACGTAACTGGATAGTTTGAAACAGAAGCTTTATTGTGCCTGTGCACAGAGGATGATCTGTCTTGGCTTTATGCAACATACTTACGTACGTGATGCAGGAAACTGCGCAAAATAAAACCTTTTTTCCCCCTCTATTTTCAAGCTGATAATGATCAAACACATATGAACACACATGTTATCGAATTCATGGAATCTCACCTCTGCTGGCAAAGAATGTATTTTGCGTGTCTGCATGATTTATGTGTTTTAATTTTTCTTTGATGAGTTTCATGCGGTTTGAGATCCACTTCATATCTGTGCCTCCCTCTCTTTTTTTTTCTCTTTCCCCCCACAAGCGTGTTTAAAATGTGCCACCAGCGATTTCAGAACTTCTTCTTTGCTGCCGACAATGTCAGTGACATGAGCAAGTAAGTCAGATCGATTATACACTTAAGATTTGTTCGGCCCGTCTATCTTATCTAACCTAAACAGATGAGCTAAAGCAGTTAATAATGCGTAATAATAATTTGTTTAGGCTCCAGTGACTACATACAATACATGACCGGTTCTAAAATGCATCTGGTAGACTAAGTGCATCAGCTACAAAATATAATCTTCATTCATTCATTTTTTGCAGCCAGTTAGAGCAAATGATTCTCTAACAGGTGTTGGTTTGCACTGCCCTCTACAGTTGGCTTCTCAGGATCCTGTTCTGTGCTCTTAGACGTGCTGATCACTTCTGTTGAAATTTAAAGCTGTTGTAGCCTGAACCTAAACATCACTGACACATAAATTATATTGCCATGTCTGTGTTGACACAGCTTGTTATGTTTTTTTTTTCTGCAGGTGGATTAACTGTCTGATTCCCACCATACAAAAGCATAAGAAGTTCCACAAAGGCCCAGATAGTGAAGAAGGTAGGGAAACATTGTCCTTATATTTTTTAATTATATTTGCACCGATCACAGAAAAATATACCCTTAATTAGAGGTCTTACTCATTCAAAATGTCTTGTAACACCTTTTGTACATAACACTCATCTTTTTAACTTAACTGATGATTTATTATTCTTAATATGAATGATTTGGTGTCCTGGTATGCCAAAATAATGGCTAGGATTTCAGTGTTTCCCCCTTCAAGTCATGACCATTTATAAGAGAACTAAATTAACCAAAGCTATCTATTTCTTTAAAGATTGTACCTCTATTAATCCAAGGGTATGATTGTTTCACTAGACTGAGTTAACTGGTAACATAAGATGAAGGATAATAACTGTTGCTATGGTTACCTGCAGTTTGTTATATGATTTTAATCATGTCCTGCCAACCAGTTAAACGAAAGGTCGGATGTGCTACACACTTCTATCTGTGTGCTAAACGTTTTTAATGTACTCTGATATAATGTGTTACGGTAATATCATTAATTTAACAAACTGTGTTTTATTTGTGAACAGAATGTTACAGCGAGACTGAATCAGAAAGCGAGAGATCACCTTCACCCCGCAGAAGAAACAAGGTCAGCACAGTTAGAGGTTTACACGTCCATGAACACAGAACAAAGACACACACCTATACCATTTGGAGTACCATTCGGATTATTATTTGTCTCATTGTGTGTCTCAGAAAGTGCAGTCCCACACGCTGCCTCGCCCAAAGGGGAAGACGAACAAGGTGCCATTATCAAGTTCTTCGACAGGGGGCAGCAAAGGAACAGGTATGTACTGTATAACTCTGTCTCAACTCTTCTCCTACTTTCTTTGCTTCTTCCTCAATTTCTCTTTCAGTGGATGATTTCTTTAATCCAAGTCCATCTGATAGAAGCTTTATTAATTTGTGAGCGGACAATTCATTTTCATCATGACATGTTGTTTTCTTGATTTTACCCTGTAGATATTTTCCCCATAAGCTGTCGACAGATAGAGGGTTCATGTGTGTAATGTTCTCAACCAAACCCCAATTCTGTGTTTTGTATTTATCTTTTATGTCTGTCTCTCCATCTGAATTTGCTCTTACTTTGCTTCCCTGTCTGTGTCTTCGCCCCCCATGTGAAGGAGCGCCGGTAGATGAGATGGGCATGATGTTAAACAACATAAAGGAAGGAGGAGTTTCTCTGATCGGCCATGAGCAGCCATTTACGCACGACCACTTCAGGAAATCATTCATTCGACGCAACAAGAATCCTATCATCAATGAGAAGGCGCACACGCTCCGCGCCCTGCAGAGCACTCTTAAGGTGAGCAGAGAAGTGATCCAGCACATGGCTCAGGTTCTCAGTTGACCCCTGAGACCCCTTAATAGACAAATAAAATTCATTTAGCATTGAGTAGAAATCATTATGGCAGTAATGATTATTGAATCAGTTCTCAAGTTACAAAACCCTTCTTTTTTCCCTTTTGACTGAATTGAATAGTTTAATATTTGAGTACATCTGCAAGGTCACTGAAAGCCCTTTTACTCCTCAGGCCAAAGAGGCAGAGCTGCTGCAGATCAACAAGATTTTAGAGGACTCTGATCTGACAGCTTCAAAGTATCGCCAGTGGAAGGAGCACAATGAGGAACTAGTTCAAGAGATCGACCGAGTGGCCGCGCTCAAGGCCTCCAAATTACGGGAAGACGCGGCAGTGCAGGACACGCCCGCTAAGGAGGTTGCCTTGGAAACTGTCGCTAAGGAAACAGCCACCGCAGAGACAGAAGGCGCATACAGACTCAGCCTCAGTGACGGGGAACAGTTAGTGGACGCAGAGCCGTCTGATGTTCTCCTGGAAATCCCACTGGGTTCTTCTAGCACAGAGTCCAGTCCAGTGTTAGAACTCTCTCTGGGATCGCTGCAGGATTCAATAAATAAACAGCTGAGTGAAATGGTGGAGAGCGGAGAAGCCTCTGAGAACTACTTCTACATTTAAGACCACGTTGGAAGAGTCACATCACTGCAAAGTTGTTTACCAGAATCAGACAAATGGAAGATGTTTTTCATGCGACAGTGTGAGAGACATGTCCGCTGACGTTCGCCAGGAAAGGATTGGTTAAAATTGCCATTAAATCAGCACTTTAATCAAGTATGTCAGTGAAATGCATCAGTGCAGACTTGCAAATTTAGACCTAGAATGTCCCACAACAAACAAATACGACATGTTTACAACAGAGAAAAGAACAATTTGCCGAGTCTCAATCAGTATGTAGTTTCAGTATCTATTTATGGGATTGTAAGGCATGTTCTTCTAGTGATAAAATATAAAACTTTTCTTAGAATTCAATGTAATATAAGTCTCTTGCCTCTTGTAATGTGATATGTAAATACAGTTCCACTATAAACACTGTATGTATTTGTTTATTGACATTACCTTAATAAAGGTAAACATTTGAAACCTTTTGCACATCATTTGCTTCAGAAACACTGTCGTAGCTCCTGGTTGGTCAGGGGGAGGTTTCTTCGTTATGTTTTGAGCTTTCTTGCCCCTATGGAGAACACTGTACATCACCACATACACGGACATACACAGTAGCAGAGGGCTGTGTGACACTTCTGGTTTAGTGTTCCTGTTTACAAGGGGAGACACTTAAGTGTCAGCCGTGCTCCTTTTTACTGTAACATTTATCAGCTCAATAAAAAAGGGAGCGTGATGATCACTGAAATGTGTTGTGAACTTGTTGTGACTTTGATATAAGGTGATATTTTTTATTTGTGAGGGTGTCAATGTTTCAGATTCAATAGTTTAAAATTGGGTTAATAACTATACAATGTTGAGTTTGAATGTTGCAATAATGTTAGAGTCTATTTATTTACACACAAATTGTGCAAAAGATAAAAACTACAACACTAAAATTAAAAAACATACTTGTTTTATTGAAGCACAAAGTTAAACTGGCAAATTCCATTTTATTGTATGACTAAACAAATTTTCCAAACTTCTTTTAGTTTCAATGCCAGACCCTACTTACTGCCTACATTTACTGTCTTTTGTTTCATCAACAGTGCCACATTAGTGACATATTCACTATATTTAACTCCTGGTCTCTACTAGATATGTCACTTACTGTTAGTCACTCACTGAATGATGTAGTTTGTCGTTCATTCTCTCATCAGATCATGATCTGTTCACGTAACAGAGCTCTTTTTTTACCAATTTACTAGGTTTAGCTGCAGTGACCTTGTCTGCTGTGCGTTGGCTGAGAGGATCTCTGCTTCTCAGCTTTGTGTGGAGACAATGAAACAGAAAAACTTTCCAACACTTGAACAAGCTTTAGAAAAAGCCATGGTGTGTATAACATTGGTAAAAATTTACACATGAACCTTTATTCTGTGTAGGATGATTCATATATAATCATCTATCCTTGATGTGCTTTGGTTGTCATGTAAAACAGTAGTACAAGGACACAGCACACAGTGATTTTGTGTTGAAATGTTTTATTCAATTTAGAATTCACCAAGTATGAGCACACTACATCAAGTTAACGTCAACAAATAATCTATAAAGAACAAACCACACCCTTTTGTACGTCCTCCTCCTCAAACACTTTTTTTTTCTTCTGTTTGTGTTATCAAGTCAGAAATATCACATCCATTAGATGAAGGCTCTTCAGTGAAGGTATCATACAAAGATTTACCCTGCCAGACTAAGAAATTGGAAGATTATTTATTATGTGTTTACACTAATTTGACTTCTAAAATAGATTTTTTTCCTTTCTTGCAGTGACTGAGTCAAACTAAATATTAAAAGCAGATGCAAATACTTCTGGAGTAAATAATTCAAGATTGCTGTCTCTGTTCCAAAGAAAACAGGATTTAACATCATTTTCTGTTAACAAGTAACCTAAGACTACAAAGTACATTCCAGATTTTTACAGTGGTAATCTTTAACAGCATCTAAAACAAGCTTGAAATCATATTTAAAGCCCTGACATTATCTAAACAACTGCTAGTCCACTCCTGTACTTTATCACAAATATTTTTACATTTCACAGTTTTGTTCGGACACAAAAAACGTTTCTTGCTAACAGTACAGAGGCATGGCTACAATGTTAAAGGCAGCACAAAGAGACACTTCAGTCATGTTTCACTACATGTTGCAGTTAAAGGCAGCAGGAACTTGAGCTCTTTTCAACCATAATGATCTTAATGAACCTGGCACAATCTTTGTACTTTATGATTCATCACTTTTTATTCCTCACCCTAAAAACATCTTTCTTTCTACGTCAAGGGGCAATTACATCCATCATGTTCATACCTGACATTAGGGTCTATTAATCAGGTGCTGGCAATGTCCTGTGGTTTTGCAGTCATTTATAAATTGACACATTGGCAGATTTATTAGCTGAGTTGAAGTGACTTTAAGAAGTGCCCACATCTCCAGATATGTTCACCCATTTTTTTTTCAACAGCTGACTTCATATACATTTGTGTCTGGTTTGTTGATCATTTCTGTGCATGAACGACACGCAGGGCAATCAGGGAGCTCTGGGCAGGAAGGGCAGGTCGGGCATTTTGGTCGTTTGGAGCTGAACAGCAGAGCACTGCCTCCCAGCACCTGTAAACATGAACCCAGCCATCCAAAGTAGAGCGAGCCGGCTGGATGGAGGCTGAGGTGGGGGAATCTGGGGTTATTGATCCCTTGGCTTGGATCTGCCATCCCCAGTCTTCCAAGGTTGTGGGTGTACACCCCGAGTGCAGTCAGGCTCAGCAGCCCAGACATCACCACCAGGAGTCCACCTGTAGCTGCTACACCTCTCAAAGGTACATCCATCCAACACCGGACCCCGATACATGCCAGAACAATACCAGTGCCACACAGGAACAATGAGGTCAGCACCAGACCTTGTGTCAGGCGAACCCTCGGGTCTCTCTGATATGGACCTGCCACAGGCCAGCACTGCTTCAGCTCTGAGTGCTCCACTTGCAGGCAGCTCTCCCAGAGTCCATCAGAGCGTAGCAAGAGCAGTGCCTCCACTGACCCGGACTTGACCCCCATCCCCTGACCTTTCACTCCTGACCGAAGAAATGACCCCAGCCCTGCCATGCCTAGACGTGCCCGTCCCTCTCTCCACTGAGGGGTGATGGCAGCAGTGAAGACAAGGACCAATCCCAAAGGGGCAAAGACAATCCCCATCACCATGGAGGCTGGAGTATGCATCGCAAGTGCTGCAGTCCTGATTCTTTACAAAAACTCTCAAAACTGTCTTTGTTTTTTGTAAAAAAAAAACATCTGAAATCAGCTGCGCAGTACCTGTCCTCAATGTGAGTATTTTCCAAAAGAAAGGTTGACTGCTCCTCCAGACAGAAAAGCTGTTTGTTATTATCATATGTCGGTGTTGTGGGACCTCTCAGAGCAGTGTGGATCTATTCTGAAAGGATAAGACAACAAGATTGTGACATAATAAAAAAAAAACAGTCACATTTAATAAACGTCTCCTCAGACCAGACACTCCTGATCTATGTCTATAAAGAAACAAAGAACTAGAATACTTCCTTCACATCAGCTATTATCAAAAACAAAGACAACAACAACAATGTAAGTTCAACACCCAACACCTTAATAGATAGAAGTTTATCCATTACCTCCTGATCGAAACTCTCCTCCCTTTTAGCTGCAGACTCTTCATTCTGACTGTCTGAACGAAAGACAGAGATTCAGTTAGAGAGCGGGCTTGGTGGGTTGAAGTGCTGGAGAGAGAGAGAGAGAGAGAAGAGAAAAGAGAGAGAGGGGAGAAGGAAGATGACGAGTACGAGAGACGAACTGAGACCGATCAAGAGACACTGAGACTTGAGACAGAGATACGAGATATTGAAAAACAACGAGGTTGGAAAGGGAGCAGTAGACAAGAGCTTTCAGCAGCGGAGAAAGCAGAAGGAGGGTCTGCCTTCACGCTCCAGCGGCCTGGACAGGAAAAGAGCTGGAAACGGCGATGCCTGTCTCTGTTTGCTAGGATACGATAACTTGGGCCAGGCTCAACCCATGGACATGTGTGTGTGTGTGTGTGTGTGTTGTGTGTGTGTGTGGTGTGTGTGGCTCTTAGTTTATCACTTAGACCTAGTTAGGTCCCCTCTACAAGACCAAGATTGCCTTATACTATACAAATGTTGACATACGTTTGAGTTCAGCTGTGGAGTGTGTGTGTGTGTGTGTATGTTATGTGTGTGCATAGGAAGAATGTGTGTTGTTGTGGCTTCTTTCTTTTTTCATAAGCCTTGCCGGAATTGAATGCCAGCTATGAACCTTCGACCCCAGAATTCTACTCGGGTTTAGTTAATTATGTCAGGCCAGTGTCTTGAATGCAGAGTGAGTCCATTCTACAGTGTCTCTCACTTCCGGGAGGAGGAAATAAAGAATGCCCTTTTGGGACGGAGACGCAGGACAACTTGAGACCGTTGTAATGACTCCGCGGCAAATAAGACAACACCAAACACAAGCAGGCCACAATCAGTGTACATCTCTCTCCTTCTCTCTCTCGTTTCTCCTCTCTCTCTCTCACACACACACACACACACACCGGTGGTAATCTGATGACTTCCTTACTGTGGAAAAACACCCTTGCTTCATTTTCCATTTTAGATGTTATGTCACAATAAATAAAACGTTAAAGCATTTAAAATGAAAACTCAAAAGTAAAAGGCGATTAAATAACTTCATATAATAGAATTATCTCTATTGAATATATAACTGAAGTTCTGCCTTGAATAACTTAATGCCCATTACCTTTAACCCAATAAAGTGTTGTCTTACAAACTGCTGAGTTGTAATGACACAGTAAGATCATGTGCTTTCTACATGACAATAAAATGGCCAATGAAGTCACTTCTTTGTTGCAAAAAAACACAATAAAAGAGTAACACATTTGCAAAAACATACTGTACATTGGACATACAGTACTGGCACAACCCCTGAATAAGCTGAATTTAGGCACTGAGAAGGATCAAGGATCAATTTTATTGATTTGGTTCTGTGACCAGTTTTGTGCTTTAAAAGCTACTGGTAACATATTGGCAAGACATACAATGCATAATCTAACCAATCTATTTTGGTATTTGAAGCAGGTTCAGTGTTTGGACGATGGTGGGAAATAATTTGTAATGTAAATACCAGCTTGTATTGGCTTTAGTGCACTATGGAGAGGACTTTCAGCCTACATGGATCACATTTGTAAATTTAACCTAATTATTGGTAAAATATTTCCCTTCTGGAAATGTCCCTGGCAGGGTGGTGACATTTAGCTTGAGGAGACAGACCAATCACCTTTATGAGGGTAATTGGAAATCTAATGAAAGGATCAAAGATGATCTACCAGGTGTCAGTGTAAGAATAGTCAAGAATTTCCTGGAAAAAGATTTACTGAAACATGACTATGACTAGACTGGAATAAATAAGTTTAAATGGAAAATAAATGTATCATGGGAATCCACGTCTTGATGTTGATGAGATCCAATCAAGTGTATTTTTGTAACCACATACCTGTCATCGAGTGACATCTAAAATTACATGCACATTATATAACATTGTAATTAGAAAGGCAGTATTTCCTGCTCTGCTACCAGAATGTTTTGACCGCATTGACATTACAGGAAAGAGAGACTTCTTGGCATGGGGAGTGAATTAAATGGCAGTCTCACCTCAATCAAGGAGGATCTGTTTGTTTTTGTATACATGTATCACTTGTCACTTTTGGACAGTAATCATACCAAAAGATGTACCTGTCAAGTTCATTTATTACTGTCTGTTACTGCAATGGTTTAAATTCAGTGACTTTACCAGATGCTTGCTTTGTTTTCATGCAGAGGAGATGTATGGAAACATCTGCAGAGAGGCACAACACATTAAAGAGGCTAGTCATAAACTGAACATGATGAACATACTGTAGGGAATTAATATCCCAAACACTTCCTCTCACATACGGGCGTATATCGAGCCAATGCAAACACATGAACACACTAAGACAGTCCATGTAGTCACTTACCATTCAGGAGGGGTTGTGGGTATCTCACTGCAGATCGCCAGCTGCCTCCCTGCTCCCGTCTGAATGGCGACAACATGTTTTGCTCTCTGGCAGCAGATGGTGCAACCACCTCTTCATTATTTCTACTCTCTCTTCCTTCTCATCTATCTTCACTTCACCAGTCTCCGCTTCCTAATTTTCCCTGTCTTTGTGTCTCTGTTTGTCCTTGTGTCTCTCCCTTTTTTTGGTCTGCTTGCCTTGCTGCCTGCTCTCTGTGTGTGTGTGTGTGTGTGTGTTCCTCTCTTTTTCAATTGCTAAAAGATGTCTGTGTTAAATCCAGGACAGAGTGCCTCCCTGCTTTTCCCTTTCAGTGTCACCTAATAGGGAAAGGCAGCAAGCTTTTCTGTATGTATGCCAACACTTCAACACGTGTGTACTGCCCTATTTTAGAGCAGAGAGCTGCTAGAAAACCAAAGTCTCTTTTTGTTTGTGTGTTGATCTGTGTATAACCCCGCTCCTTATACACAAATACACACAAAAAACACAGAAAGTAAGACGAAAGCTCTCTCATGCAGATGGGATTCATGATTTTGTTTGATCTAGCGAGAGATCGGATTGTTGTAAACATTTCTATTATGCACTTCACCTACTTCTATTCACACACACAGGAAGCATCTCTTATCCTTATCTTTTGTTTGTTCCAGTGATAATTGATCCTGGTAGAGGTGTGAATGGCTTGTTTTTTAATCTGAATGCATAATTACTAAAAACAAATAAGAGACAGCCACAAAACCTATTATGCATTTCCTTTATTTTCTTACAAAAGAGGCAAGATATGCTAATACAACCAGAATTGCCATGGTATAATAATGAAATATTACAGGGATACATGTTTGTTTTGAAATGATGCATAACGTATAAGGGGAAAAAACAGCTTTTTACACACACATGCAAACACATATTATGAAAGTCCTCTGGCAGGGTTTGGGGGGTTTCTAGAAAAACTCTGTGGTTATACCATACAGTCAGGAAATGTCCACAGCCTGGGCTAAATGATGGCCAATACTAACTCTCGTGTGGTTTTATAGGTGGAAATGTCTGACTTTTAGTTATGAATTTAACCAAGCATCGGGCCGTTGTAGTCATGAAACTAACAGGATGATACTGATGGCAGTGAAAAACCTTATTAGTAGGTTGTGGATGAGAAAACGCACCATTGGGTCTTGCAGAAGAAATGACAAGTACATTGAAAGCAGCAAGAACAGCAACCTCTGAAAATGCTGAAAATAAACTGTACACAAATGTACAGAGCTCTGTAAAAAAAATTGAAATACATAGCAATTTGTGGAAAATGGATCACCACGTGCACATGGAGAGTACATAAAACACTGTCATATTAAAGTCTATTTACATTATGTACAGGCTGTTCATCATAATTGCTCTTACGTTACAATATTAAATTCAAATAACAAAATGATAAGAACAGGAGCGAGTGGTATTTACAAAATCGAGAAACGGTTTGACTTCTTCAACTGAGCTCGGAAAAACTGGAGAGGTCTCTTCAGTCCGGTTCTCTTACTGGTTTCGGCAGTCCACAGCTTACATTGTCTTTGACTGGGCAGTGCTTTCAGATATGGTTTAAACTGGCAGCTGTGATTTGTTACATCCTTCAAATGGAGCAGGTGGCTGATGGGATGCTGGATCTCATACTTCAATGAGTGTGACCTGGAACTGACCGTGGACGAGCTCAGACATCTCAATGAGGAAGGCCGACTGGTTGGTGTAGTGTTCGATGATGTTATCGTCCATGTTGACGAAAATCCTGAAGAAAAGATGCAAAATCAAAAGGTTAGCTCAGTGATCATGAGGAAGAATCTATCAATGGTGCACAGGAAGTGTGCCAAATCAAAGTGTATTAGACTTTTTAATAAATAAAAAAAAGATTTATCTTCAAAACTAGGACATGCAAATTGGCTCTTAAATGTTTTGTGCTCTATTTTTCAGGTCTGACATAAGCAACAAGTCATCAGGTTTGTTGTTTGAGTTAAAACACAACATGTCATTTGTTTGGAGGAAGCTTGTCAGGCGAAAAACATTGGCGGTATATCTCTTGCATCAGCAGGGGTAGTAAATCAGGTCACTCTCTTCCTCCTCCCCAACACTAACACTAACCTGTAAGTCTTTAAGGCTTTAGTGACTGAACTAACCTCCACGCTCATGCATTTAGCCTGCAGGGACAGGGCTGATTGAAGACAAGAGCTAAAGAGGAGGGAGGGAACTGCGGGGAGAATGTAACCCAACCTGTTAGCTTAGCTGCACCCCCTGAAGTGATCGCTGCCAGCAAGAAGCAGGAAAATCACCTAAAGGTGTTTCAGTCTCTGTCAGGACGACTGGCCTCTGATCTCCTCTGTTATTTTGCTGGAGGTAACCCAGACTATTATCAGTTTGACAGCTGTTCACTGCGTGAAATACAGTCGATGCAATACATGTTTTTGGATATTTGGAAATTCCACTTATGAGACACGTACTTTGTTTCATTTTAAAAGCCAGCATGTAGCTGTTATTGTAACTACGTTACAAGTAGATTTTTTGTGAATCATCAGTCATCAAGAGAGGAGTTGACCTTTTCATTACCACTGGAGTTCCACCAAATAGGTTGAGGAAATTAAGCAGATTGGAGCCGGTTTTTAGACAGGGCACCAATCCAAAGCACCTACATTCAGTGCAGCTCTAACGAACTCATCTGACCTGAGCGATGTTTAGCTGATAGAAATATGATGTGTAATAGTATAAAAAAAGATCCCAAACTTGATTGACAACCTTCAGATAGTGACAAGAAGCCTCCAAAGCCTTCAGCGTTATCAAACCAGCTATCTCTTTCACCACCGTAAAACTTCCTGATGTTGGTGGAGGTTATGAAAACATAAATAAGTACAACAATTGGCCATGATTCATCGGCAGGACTTTTGAAATCTTTTCACCCTCTCTCAGTCACCTGTCTTTCTTTTGGAGGAGCTGCAATTAACACATTCCAGCAGGCCAAGCCAACTAACCTACCTACCCAGTCTGTCAACATGAGCTTCCTTAAAGGAGGACGAGATTAAAATCACAAACTAAGCCCTGAATTTATGCACCTCTTCTGTGTCAAATTAAGTCCTTTAATCTAGCTTGTGTGTTAAGCTAATTGCATAATCACAGTGCATTAGGCATACCAAAGAAACAATAAGACACTCACCCTCTTTTGCATTTTTTGTAGATTTTTCCAATGGTGTCTTTTTGCATACCGTACTTTTCTGAAACCTGAGGAAGGGAAGGAATATGAGAAGACAGTTAGCATGATCGCCCGGGTGAAAGAAAAGTGATACACTTGAGAGATAACATATGGTGACTTTATTGTTATGCATGAATGTGTGAGTACGTGTCTGTTGGAAGGCAACAACACAGACGAAATCAGGTCAAATCATTCAGGAATGTCTTTGAGTTTGTTACTTACAGCATCTCGTAGGCCTGACACCGTTGGTGTGCTGAGCATGAGCGCATCAAACACCTCGTCAGCGGCTGTCCTCACGTACAGCAGAACTATTGGAAGGCAAGAAAAGAAATAAAACATTTACCACAAAAAACTAGATAAGCTCATTGACTCTTTATCGATCTTTGCATCTCTTTTTTAATATTAAACTTTTAGTTTCTAATGTACCTCTTTGGGTGTCTTCTCTACGGGCTTGCTTGCTGGGTGGAGAGCTGTTCTGGTCTCTGTCTTGATACATTCTCTTCATAGAGCTCCTATAGCAACAGAACAGACATTTACATTAGACTAAAACAGACACTTTGTTTTTATTTGGAAATAACCGGTTGTGATGGCTCTCAATGTCGCCTTGTGTTTTCTATCTGTGCTTACCTGTCGTTTTCGTCCACGGGAGGGGCCTGGAGAGACAGCGAGAAACAGAGATGAGACCAGAGATCTGATTAGAAACCACTCCACAGATAAAAGCATTGCCTAATGTCCCCCTTCCCACCACTGTCTGTGCACAATACTTTCAAAAGAGGAATGTTATCATCACTTTAAAACTGCATTTCCCATAACCTCTAACAGAAACACGTCAGCATGGTCACTGATGGAGAGACACTGATAGAACAATCATACACTTTATCGTACTAGCCAATCAAAAACTATTTATGCCGCAGCCATTCATAACACACTATTATTGCGTCATTGTGTAATACTTGTTTGCATTTTGCTCAGTTTCACTCACTGCAAATCAGGGAAATTAAATCAAAATGCACAATGCCACTTTTGAGCTACACACACTCTCATACATGCTAATCTAGACTTCATGGTGTGGGAAAACTGGCCTGTCTGAACAGCACTCTCACCTCACTGTTTATGCAAGTGTGTGTCTAAGTACAAGAACATATGAGGGTGGCGCAAACTGTATGTCAGGTGTCTGTGTGCTGTTGCACCAGGTGTGTGTGTGTTTCTACCCCCATAGATTAATCTCAGTGTCAGTAGCTGTAGCAGCTTGTACCTGTGCCTGGTTTCGACTCCAATTAGCTCACCCAGTCTTTCGCCTCAATTTCACTGACACCGTCCCCTCCCCTTTCCCAGCCCACTTTTCCCACTACATACTTTCCCACAGTTTTTTCCTGCCTCTCTCGTGCCTGTCCTATTGCCTCCAGGTACTCAGGGGTCGGGAACATGATTCACTCAACACAGGAGGAGTGGAGAGGAGAGCTACCAACAATAACATAATATAGTTAAAGGAGGGGGGATTTACCATGCGCTGCAAGCTGGAGATATGTGTTTCTGGAATGAAGAGAACTGGCTGGGTGATGTGGTCATCCAAGGTTTGGAAGAAAGTATAGTCACTGCCCATGGAGCTGCTCACTAAAGACTTGGCTGGAAAAACAAAAGCAGGAAGGTCCACAATGTTAGAAAACACTCTCTGAAGTTTGTATCCTGTAATAATAATGGAGGATGATATTATCTTTAAGGCACACTGCCTGTTTGCAACACTCACTGTTAGCATCATTCTTTCCCCTCCTCTTGCTTCTCTTCCTCTCCTCATCACGCATCTTCCTCTCTGCACCCTGAGGACACACAATGGCATGGTTACGATAATGACTTTGACCCCACAAATGAGAAATTTGTGTGTGTGTGTGTGTGTGTGTAAGAAAGGGTGAATGAAGTGACACAAGTGACGTACCTTATCGCAGAAAATCTTGACCTGGCACGCAGCTCTGTGGATGAGTCGGTTGGTTCCTGAGCTGAAGTCATACGTGTCAATCTGTATGTTTAGAGGCAGGCCTTTCACTCCCTTCTGAGAGGAGAAGTCTGTGCTCAAGGAGTTGATGCCAATGTACACCTGGAGAGAAATAGGAGTATATGTTTTAAGCACATCATGCTGGCATCATGTGTTTGTTTACATGTGTCCCAGTACAGAGATAATGATAATAATAATGTTTGAGAGACGTTGAGAACCTCCGTTTAATATAATAGATAATGATTTTAGGTTTAAAATGGTATTTTCTGTCTTTAAGAAGAGACCTTCTTCCTGCTCCTCTCCACCTGCAGCAGGTTTGGTGGCCCCACCTTGGCGTCTTTGGGCCACAGAGAGGCTCGAATAAGCTGTCGTGGCTCTCGCCTGATGTGGTGACAGGAGCCTCAGGGCCAAACACATTTCTGGGATTCCTCCCCTCCCTCCTCAGCCACTCCTTCTCTCTCCACCTCCCTTTTCTACCTTTCCTCTCTTCTCTTCTAAATCTTCCACCTGTTCTGTTCCTTCTTTCTTAAGAGAACCGGCCTTA